ACAGGTTCAGACATTTAAAAAATGTATTTTAGCCAACACCACCTGCTACAAATATGAGAAAAAAAAATTAAATCTTAACTACCGTCTCTAACCTGGTTCCTCGCTCTTCTCTGCCCCTGGTCTCTTAATCTGCTTGTCAAGTTTGTTTCTTCAAGGTTGGAGACAATCAAGCTCCAAACAGTGATGGAGACAAAGCCACACATGCCAGAGTCCTCCTGATTCCATGGACTCCTTAACAGACTCCCCTCGACATCTCAGAAGAGACACTGGACTGTCTGGGGACCCCTAGTCAGCACCCCTTTTCCTGACAGAAGTCAGGGTTACCTCTGGAGAGAGGGAATGTAAGGAGACAAATACAAGGAAAAAGAAAATAACAAAAATGTCCCTAGGGATGTAAATATAAAGAAACAACAAAAGTAACTTTGTTTTAAATAAAGGAGACAAAAAAACACTGAAAAATTAAACATTTAGGGAAAACCAGCTTTGCAGGCAGGTGCTGAGGCACAACAAACTTTCCCAAAATAAACAAAAAGGGGTCTCACCAAAATAATAACTAGTAGTCATAAAATATAGGTAACAAGTCTCAAGGACAGGATGGACTAATGAGGCTCTCTTAAAATGTCTAATAAAGATAGGGGCAACTAGATGGTTGGGCTTAACCAAAAGTCAATACTAGCTAAATTTAAAGAAAAAAAACTATAAAAGGGGGGGGGATTGTGAGAATCAACTAAAGTTAGGTCTTCTCTGTCAAAGGAGTTAATGTAAATTATCACTGTGTAGATGCCAGCTAATCTTCCCGAATTGCTGCCTACGTGCTTTGTGAAACGTTGCTTGACCCTGGAAGTTTCTTACAGTCAAAGAGCTGTTTATCGCCAGGTGTTCTAATCTGAAACTGCTTGCTTAAAGATGAATATTGTCCAGAACTTTCTTGTTCTCCCTGCTTCAAGGTTCCCCTTACCCCACATGTCCCCTTTTCTAAGTAAACAATGGCAAAGACTGTGAACCCAAACCTGTCCGTCAGGGTGAGGGGCAGAGAGCTAAAAACTGAGCTGACCCTCGCTCAGTGTGCTCTGCCTATCAGGCCATGGTCTGTGACGGCACCCTTGTGCAAAAGTAAAACCTTTCTTTTTGCTGTGCTGAACGATTCACAAGTGTTCCTTTTATCATCATTTGAGAATGACATTTCTAACACCTGGTCTTAGTATTTATTCAAAGTTGGTTTATTGCTCCTTATGTGAAAATTGTGACTGTCGTGGAGCAACAATTGGTACAATTGGTCAGAGGCTCACAGTCACTGTCCACTCTCTGACCCACCAAAGGCTTACTTATTTTAACATTTTGTATATGTTAGATCTATATAACATATAAAACACCACTAATCTTGACATCTTCATTGTAGCCAGCAGGTTCCTATAGGGCCTGGGGCCATGTGTCAGTCAATCATCTGGGTCCGACATCCATTTGCGAACCCCTTCCCTTTCCTGCACTGACCTTTTAACTCTCGATTTTGGCCCAAGGGTTTGAGTCCCCCAGTCGGGTAGTATGCCCGGATCCCATGGACACCCAGCTTTCTTGGAGACCTGGCTGTAGAAACTGCTGAGCACAGAAAATCTAGAATCTGCCTTCCAGCCAACGCGTTAGCAATTTTCCTCCGGCTGCCTGAACATCACCGGCCATGGGCGTTTCGCTGGAGTCCCAGGGGCTCCGGAAAACGGGGTTTTCCAGCGGTCCACCAAGCGCAAACAGCCGTCGGGGCAGCGCCAGATGCCACGCCGCGGGGGCCCGCAGTGCCGCACGAAGCCAGCCGGGGGCGCTCGTGGCCGCCCAGGGGAGGGGAGAGAGCGCGCGCGGGCGGGCGGGGGCGGTGCCCAGCGCTTCCTGTTCCGGCGCCAAGGAGGAGCGCGATATTGCTGCTGCGTCCCGGCTGCCGTCAGTCAGGCTGCCGCCCGGTTCCTCATCACCTGCTTCCCTTGGGCCCATCGCCGCCGCTACACCGTGCTGCGGGCTCGGATCTTGCCAGGTGAGGCTGCCTAGGCGTTGGTGGGTCACGGAGGGGCGCGGGGCTGGCGAGCGGGAAGCGGGCGCGGCAACGGAGATACCTGGAGTCACTCCCTTACTTGGGCCGTGGGCAACGTATGGACCGGGGCTGAACGGTTCCCGGTACCCGGTCCCAGCTGCGCGGCGGACGCCCCTGCCTCGCTCCCCGGGAAGAAAGCGTCGGAGGAAGCTGACGTCGCCCCCCACGGGTTTCTTGGCACTTGACGTCAGGCCTGGCTGGCTGGGGGCGGGGCGGGGCGGGAGCGGGCCCTCCCCTCCCCCACCCTGCCCTGGCGAGCGCGACCCGCTCCGAGGCCGGTTGGCTCCGGTTGATCGGGGATTCTCTTTGTTCCTTTAGCCCTGAGAGAGCTGCGGGTCTCGCGCCCCTTGGTCCTGACCCTCATTACGATTACCTCATTCATTAATTTCTAATACAAAGGGAAAGAAAAGCCCGAATGGGTCCGTACAGAAATGTCCTACGTAAGAGGATCCATGACGTGACAACGTTCTAGGCCCCCATCCGTGAAATGACCGCTCGTGACAACTCCGAGAAGAGCCGAGTCACATTCTCCTTTTGTAGGATTTAAGAGTGGCTGTTACGTATGGTCGCAAAAAGTAGTCTAGCTTTTTGTTTTTTAACTAGAAAACTATGAGTAGTGCTTTTAATAGATGTCCGAGCATCGGGCCAGACTCGGCCGAGACGTATTCCCGCCCTGCTACGTAGGGGCACGGCACGTGTGCGCCCGGAGCCCTCCCTGCAGGGCCGCCTTTCCAAGTATTTCTTTATAGTGCTCGTGGGGCAGGAAGGACAGAACGTTACTGGTATCACTGAGCCCCTGTGTAAAACTATCTCGCTTCGGAAACTCTTGAATCAAGTTGCCTACGTTGGGTTGGGAGGTTCTTTTCCTGGTTCCAGGAGAATTGGTAATGCCCATCCTTGCTACCTTCAGTGAAATCCTTAGGGCCCGTATATTTTGGAATTCAGAAACCTTTGGATTTTATATTTTAGAAAGAGAATGTATTATATAGAGAAGAGGTGACACCCCCAAGCAGAGTCAGGGGCCTCATAATCGTTAATATTTGTACAGGGGATGAAACCGTCGTTCAGGGTTTGAACTCTTGCGTGGGATGTGTGAGGCCTCTGGGTTCAATCCCCTAACACTGAAGGAAAGAAAATTGTGCAATCTATAAGCGAGTTTAATAGAAACTACAAATAACTGCTTGTTGTATTTTTGCTCTATACCAGTAATGGTGAGGAGATGTATTTATGTCTTGGCAAATTTGAGGTGCATACTGTACCTATAGTTTTGAGATTTGGAACATTGAGCTTGTCCAAAGTCCAACCAGCCTGTGAGGAGCTGCAGTTTTATCTAGGTGGATCAGACTTATCTTTGTGCTGTATGTTCATACGCAGAGGAAGATGAGAACATCTGAGATTGTTTTGCCTACCCACTACTTCCCAGGCGCTCTCTTAGGCGCTTGATAAGATAGAGTCCCGTTTAGTCCACATACATTGTTACTGGCCCTTCTGTGTAGATGAAGAAACTGAAGTCGATTCAGATAAGCTGACTGTTAAGTGAAAGGATCCAAACCCTTGGCTAAGATTTTTCTGCTAAAACTTTGGTAGGGCTCTCTTTTCTTCCTGTGTTCCAACCAATCTTAACTGCTTGTGTTCCCCACAGATTCTCTGGCTTCTTTCCCACCTTTTGCACAATCTCCTCTCCTTACTCTCGGACCTGTCCTACAAATACGACTTTTAAGGAATACCAGTGCTATACTTCTAATTTCCCTGCAGCTCTACAGTGCCTGGCAGGGATCACCCAATTAGTGACTGAATAAATTGTAAAAGATATTACTGGAAATTTAAAGTGTTCACAAACTTTCCACCCCAATTTCTTGAGTTGCCCAGTATAAAAAAAATGCACTATAATCTGATAAATTATCCAGTACTAAAAACTAGCATAAACTGGGTGTTGTGGCTCACTCTTATAATCCTGTAGCTATTCAGGAGCAGGTATCCATCTAGAGGATGGATCCTCCCTGCCCAACAGAAGTTCACCCTCATCTCAATAAAAGCCAGGTGAAGTGGCACAAACCAGTCATCCCAGCTACACAGGAAACAAATGTAAATAGTATCCAGGCTGACCCAAGCATAAATACAAGATCCTCTTTGAAAAGTAGCTTTCAAAAAATGGTTTTTTTGTGTGGTAATGTGGCTTGTGGTAGAGTGCCTGCCTGGCAAGTGCAAGGCCCTGAGTTCAAACCCCCCTTCCCCCCAAAAAAAGCATATGTACTAATTCATAATTTGTTTTCAGTACAGTGCCTACTTAACAAATCAACAAACACAAATATCCTGGTTTCCCTGGGGGTTCTCTCAATATATGTGTATGGTACATTGTAGATTATTGTGTTACTTTGCAAGTGTCTGCATCTAGGAATTATAACAGTTTTACAGATAGGAAAATGGTCTCTTGTTAAGTCTGCTTTTGTCAAAAAAAAAAAAAATTGGTGTTCAAGTTTTGTAACTGTATCTTCTCGTCTCATTCTGTTAATCACTCACAATTTGATGGCCTTCTAAAACATTGCTGGTCAGTTGTGGCTAGTAATTTATGGATGGCTCCTCCTATTTATGCCTCTTGCGTAGCTGGGGTACCAGGCACACACCACCTCACCCAGATGATGGGGTCTCCCTAACTTTTTTTTTTTTGGCCTTGTTTAGCCTCAAATTGGAATTCCCCTGATTTTTCACCTCCCAACTATCTGGGATTACAGGTGCGAGCCACCTATGCCTGGCTAGAATTCATCTTTCTTAAACTTTTTATGATTGAATGGTCATTTTTATTCTAAAGACCATGAGTTACTGAGCTGTTATGTTTTGATTTTCTAATACAGAAGAAATTTAAGATTACTATTCTTGCCTCTTGGAAAATAAGTGTTTTTCAGATGATGTGTAGATTGTGCCAAAAAGTGATAATGGGAAGTTCTCTTCCTTTTTTTTGTTTGTTTCTTTTGAAATGGGGGTCTCACTACATGGCCTAGGCTAGTCTCAGACTCACTGTGTAGTCCAGGCTGACCTTGGATCCTCCTGCTCCTCAGAGTTGAAGCCTCCCAAGTGCTAGGATTACAGGTATGCATCACCATACCTGTCATGAAAACATTTCTTGATTTTTCATCTTTTTTGACAGTTTCAAGGTTACATTGGTTCAACCTTAATAATTTACACATTTCAATTTAGAATAGCTTTTTTAGAAAATCTAGGTATTTCTACATTCTGTGTGTTTGTTCAGGTTGAATTACTAATATCATCTCTATTTTTTTTTTACCTTTTTTCAGATGAACATATATCCTAGAGAGCAAACTGGAATGATTAACATGAATACTGTTTATCCTAACCATAGATAGCAGGTTACTTTACTAAAGTAATAGAACAGAAAGTGGCCTGTTTCTAACTTCTTTGGTCCGGGCTTCACTATATCATCATAAGATTATATAGTATTCTCTGTCTTCCACACTTAGATTTTGAACTTAAACAAAGAGTGAAAAGAGTAATTCTGGAAACCTGAATAGCAAGACCATATGAAACTAAATGTATCATTGTTAGATTCTCTGTCCAGAATTAATGTGAACTTTGGTACAGAATCGTTTTCTGTTTCAGAGAAGCTCACCCTGTTTGAAAAGCGTGTCCATCTTATGTAGACTTTAAATGTATTGTACATTGATAGTTTCTTCTAGCATCAATCCTTAAAAGTACTACCTGTGATGTTTTAGTGTAAAACAAATGTTAGCATTGGAATGAATGGATAATTACTATGTTTGTATACAGTCAGGGTGGGGGTTGATACTCTGAACAAAAAGCAAGGTTATAGCAAATGTGCCTTAGCTTCATGTTCTTTAATTATTCCTCATGATCATCAAATAATAATTAAACTTAAGATTATAAATTTGGGTTAGTATAAGTCTAATAAGTATATGATACATCAAAGGAGAAAAACCATGAGATAACTCACTAGATGCAGAAAGATCTTCTAAAGAAATTCTCTTTTCTCATTTTATTAACTAGCAAAGTAGGCATAAATAATTCTAGTAAGATAGGCATAAATAAAAACTTCCTTGGTATCATTTTTTTAATCTTAAACTAAAAATGAGATTCATACTTAAATATGAGAAGCATTTCTAGGAGAGCTGGAACAAGATCACTGTGCTCTATCACTAATTTACCATTTCATTGATTAGACCCGTAAAGATTGGAAAGAGAAGGTAAAATTATTACCTGGATTCCCAGATAATCAACTTGAAAGCTTTTAGGAATAAAATAATCCAGTAATGTCACTGCTTAGAAAATGATACATCAAATTTTTTTAAAGTCTTTCCCATATGTGAATAACCAATTCGAAAACATAGTGAAAGAAAAGAGCCTATTTACAAGAAAAGATGACAGAAATTTCTTTCACAAGAAATGTGTAAGAGACCTGGTCAAAAAAATAAAATAAGCTCACAACACCTGTAATCCTAGCTACTCAGGAGGCAGAGATTGGGATGGTGTGGTTTAAGGCCAGCCTGAGCAAAAAAGTTCGAGAGACTCCTTCTCAACCAATAAAAAAATAACTGGATATGGTAGGGCTCACCTATCAACCCAGCTACATGGGGAAGTATAAATGGGAGGTAGGGTCACTGTCCAGGCCAGCTTGGTCTCAAAAGCTAGACTATTCCAAAAAATAACTCATGAGCTAAAATGGCTCATGGGGTAGAGTTCCTCCCTAGCAAATACAAGGCCCTGAGTTCAAACCCAGTGCCACCAAAAAATAAGTAAATAAATAAATTGATTAAAATAAAATAAGATAATCACAGTGATACCCACCTATAAGCCCAGCTACTTAGGAGGCTGAGGTGGGAGGATTGCTTGAACATAAGAATTCACTTCCACCCTAGGCAGCATAGCAAGGACTCATCTCATTAGAGAGAGAGAGAGAAAGGGAGGGAGAGAAAACTAAATGACAAGTAACTAGAAAGCCCTATCTTATTTTTTTGTTTTTGTTTTGACAGTACTGGACTTTGAACTCAGGGCATCACATTTACTAGGCAGGTACTCTACCACTTGAGCCACTCCCCCCATCTTGCTCTTAAATGAGATTTGACATTTTGAATATTTTTTTTTTTTGGCAACGCTTGGACTTGAACTCCAGGCCTAACACTAAGCAGGCGCTCTTACTGCTTGAGCCATTCTGCCAGCCCTTGGATATATCAGATGCCTCCTAGACTAATCTGCAAACTGAATGTATTTCTAACCAGAGCACCACCATATTTTAGTTTTTTACAAAATAATCTTGAAAAAGTAAACAAGAATATTGATGGAAATCTGAAGAAAAAGCTATAGGGAGCTGACACTAAAATTTGTTTAAAATATAAAGATGCTACAGTGCAGATTAGCAGAAAAGAAGAGTCCACAGTACTGTGGGAATAATTGTAGCTCCATACCCTGATTGTGAGGCACCTGAGCTCTGGATGTGGGCTGTACATGGGTTCGAGCTAAACAAGTTAACTTATGAAACGTCCTTTCCCCCAGTGTGGGGGATGATAATAGAATCTGCATCATAGGGAATATGCCTATTCCATGCTAAACATTCAGTAAATACTACTGTCAGTAGCAGCAATAGAGTATGTTAAAGGTAGCTTACACAAAGTTGAGAAAAGCTAGGATATTTGGTGATTATTGCTTGGAAGAATTAAAGATTTTAAACAAGAAGTTAAACCATAAACATACTATAAGAAATATACAGTTCAAAAACCTGGAGTGGAGGCCTTTTGAATATATTACAAAATCTCATGTAGAGAAGAATAAATAAGCTACACAAAATTTTAAACTTTTGGTGTCACATGAGGCTCCAGTGGCTCACGCCTGTACTACTTGGGAAGCTGAGATTGAAAAGACTGGTTTGAGACGAGCCCGAGCAAATACTTCGCAAGACCCCATCTCCAATATAACCAGAGCAAAATGGACTGAAAGTGTGGCTCAAGCCATAGAGTGCCTGTGCAAAGCCCTGAATTCAAACCCCAATCCTGAAGAAAAAAAATACACACTTTTAGAGATTGATAGTTAAAGGGAACTTAGGAGGAAATGTTTTGTCTCATGTACAAATAGCTAATTTCCTTGCTATCTAACTGTTGAGGGGGAAATGATCAAGGACAAAAAGAGTACCTGCTTCTTAAAAGAAGGTGCCAATTTTTAACCTATCATAATTTAAAATGCTTTAAAAATTCAGTAATATCCAAAGATGAAAGAATTAAAGAAAGGTGTGAAAACTAAAACGATTTTCACCAGTTTAAACCGGCATGTACTTTTCAGATGGATTTTAGATAAACTTAACCTCTTGGTAGTAAATTTCACTCTGGTGCTTTTTCCTGATGGTACATGTTCACACGTGAGCAAAATGGTGGCTATGCCATTGTTTAAAACAACCTAAACTGCTACAAAAGTCAGTGTCAATTAAATTGTAGATCAAGCTAGGCCGGGAGGCATGTATTTGTAGTCCCAGCTACTTGAGAGGTTGAAACAGGAGATCCTCCCAAGGATCCCTTGATCACTGAGATCCCTTAAGCCCAGGAGTTTTTGAGACTAGCCTGGGCAACACAAGACCCCATTGAAAGTTAGGTGATCATTTGTATATGATGTGCAACCATTGAAAAGGGATAGAGTTGATAGAGATGTATGAACTTACATGGGAAATTTTTCCAACGTAAAGAAAACCACATGACATAAATTCTGAAGATTCCATTTAAGTAAAAATGTACGCGTAGAAAGTTCCATTAAGCATACATAAGAGATGATAAATACTAATTTTGAAATTTTCTTTCTTTAGGAAAATGTCTGATGAATTTTCGGTAAGTTGATGTGTTTGTCCTTGGTAAAGTTTTTGGCTTTTAAGAAAAACATGGTCCTAACTGTAAGCCATCTAAGTATTTTAATTTTAAAAGAGTACTTTTTTTGTGATAGTTGGGATTTTATGCCAGGCACTGTGTTTAGTACACTGTAGAAAATATCTTGTTTAAGACTGAAGTTAACCCTGAAACTGCTTTTGAAAATCAGGAAGCCAGAGGGGTATGTGACTTGTCTGAAGTAAAGCCAGGATTCAGTCCAAATTTTGACTAAATTCTATCTTCTTAATTACTATACTCTGTTACATTAATACAGCACAGAAATTAAGCACAGTCTGACTGTTGTATTTAGGAAAGTTGAGCTTCTCTGAAGAATTTATGCTGTAGACTTGATATTTCAGGTAACATTTCAAGTTTTGTATTAAGAGAATAGCTTTTCAGATAAATAGTTTAGCTTCTGAAGATGCTAGTGAGGTTTCTGCTCATCTTTGGTCTAACGTGTCCCTGGGTGAGATGGGTAAGACTCATCTCTTTTGTATTCCAGTTGGCAGATGCACTACCTGAACCCTCACCTGCCAAAACCTCTGCTGTGAGCAACACGAAATCTGGCCAATCTCCTCAAGGCTGGCCAGGTTCCAACCCTTGGAACAGCCCAAGTGCTCCACCTTCTGTGCCATCTGGACTCCCACCAAGTACTACACCTTCTTCTGTGCCTTTTGGACCAGCACCTTCAGGAATGTATCCCTCTGTGCCTCCCACTGGACCACCTGCAGGACCCCCAGCACCCTTTCCTCCCTCTGGACCCTCATGCCCCCCACCTGGTGGTCCTTACCCAGCCCCAGCTGTGTCAGGCCCTGGCCCTACAGGCCCATATCCTACACCAAATATGCCCTTTCCAGAGCTACCTAGACCATATGGGGCACCCACAGACCCAGCTACAGCTGGTTCTTTAGGTCCATGGGGATCCATGTCTTCTGGACCTTGGGCGCCAGGAATGGGTGGGCAGTACCCTACTCCTAATATGCCATATGCATCTTCAGGGCCATATCCCGCTCCTCCCCCTCCTCAAGCACCAGGGGCAGCACCGCCCGTTCCATGGGGCTCTGTGCCACCAGGAGCCTGGGGACCACCAGCACCGTATCCTGCCCCTGCAGGATCATATCCCACACCAGGACTCTATCCTACTCCCAGTAATCCTTTTCAAGTGCCTTCAGGACCTTCTGGTGCTCCACCGATGCCTGGTGGCCCCCACGTGAGTGTTCAGTTTGTTATTTCACATGTACCATTTGTCACATCAGCACAACTGAAAGATTGTTTCTTCACCATGCTGGATGGAAGATTAGAAAGCTCTTAAAAAGGGCATAGTGATAAAATGAGTAAATTTGAAAGTTTTGGGTACAGCATTTAAAAGCATGAGAACAGAAGTATTCTTACTACTAGAAATAGAAAATTTTCCCAAAGACTTAGGTGAACTCTATGAGCTGCATTTCATTTGGGCTATTTTGTTGGGGCAGGGGAGGGAGGGTTGTTTTGTTTTACAGCTCTTGGTACTGTCTCAGTGCGCCACGCCAAAGCATAGTTCAGTAGAAGCACCCTCTGCCTGTCTGGCTTAACACATGTGGATTTTTAGAGAACCTGAAGCAGTGAGTGTGTAGCAAACATTGTCCATCCTTCAGGCACTTGTACCTGCTGTTTCTTGGCCAAGTTTTTTTAGGATTTTAGCAGCGTGGAGCCCAAGATTACACCACTATTCTTGATTATCAGTTGCCTATAAAGCTTTATGCTTTATTGCCAACCAAACCAGAGTAGGGTTGGCATTTTAGTTGAGGAGCCTGTCTTAAGGATGTGACTGAGAAGTAAGTCTAGTGAGTATCCAAGCAGTCAAGATTTCTTTAGAGAAAGAAAATTTGTTAACTTTTAACCCACAGAATAACTAATCAGATCTCCAGCTAGATTCATTAACCATACACCTCACTCGAAAAGGAAAAACAAAAATCTTAATAAAGTGCCCCCAAAACTTGTGTAGCTTTTTGCTAGATACATTCTCTAAGAATTTTTTTTTTCGCAAAACATATGCCAAAGTAAATGAGATGACTTGCTGTTTAGAGTAATTAAACAATAAATCATTTTAAGCCACAGCAAGGAATAATAATCTCCCATTTACAGAATCTGGAAGTTGACTTTTTTTTTTTTTTTCTATTGCAGTCTTACCATTAAGTGAACAGTGAAGGAAGAGATGGCGCTTTGCTTCTTGAAGTACATGTAGATGCACACGAACGCATATGTAAAAATAGCTGGTGTCACTGTTCTTAGAGGGCATTCATGAAAGAGCAATTCCTGCACCTCTCAGAAGACATCTATCCTTTGTACTTGGATGTGTAGTACATAAAATGGATACAATCAGAAAAACGTAAAAGCAAGTCATTCAGATGTGATCTTTATTTGGTTTTCATAGAAGTTAAAGTAATTAAGTATATGAAATAGTTCTTTGATAAAATTTGTTTCGATCATGAAACTAAACCGTCAGAAATCTGAGATGATAGGAATTATTAGAATCTGCAACTGCATTGGCGAATTATTTCAGAAAAACATTTTTCTATAATCACATTTTCCCCAAGGTAATTTTGAAAGCAATCCCATTATAATCCAAACAAATGATTTCTCTCAATGTTTTGATAAGCCCAGTCCTTTTATGATTATATTTTGGATATATATTTTAAATTTTTGTACATTATCAGATGTCCAGTTCATTAGCCAGCCAGTGTTCATTTTTGTCCTTGCTTTTAGCAAAAACTTTTGTTTTATTTTTGCCATGTTGGTTATTCAGCACTGAAATCTGCCATTTATGAAACTTTTTGGTGTCTGTGGTGCTGGAAGTGGAACCCAGGGCCTTGCACATGCCAGGCAAGCACTCTACCACTGAGTTACACCCCCAGCCCTAACTTCTTTTTTTAATCCAAGTCAACATGTATGTAAATTATATTCTTAGAGAATTGATGACTTCTTTGTATTTCTTTAGAGTGGATTATAAAGGAAAGAAAGAATTCTCTCCTTTGTTTTGAATCTCAAACTAGGTAAATCCTAGAAATTGCTTCATTGCAACAATTGCTTCATTGTAATTTTCATTCCCACAAAACCTGAGGCAGCTCTCCTGTTCAGGCTTCCCTGCCCCACACCTTAGAAGGAACATATCCCTTGATTACTCCCTGATACAGAAACTGGCACACTAGAGGTCTGTTGTAAGAACATACAGGAGTTATGTTCAGGGAACCACAGGTTATACAGATATGACTGTTCTCTTTGTGTAAGTATAAATCAAGAATATATCTTTCAGAGTCTGGCTAAGCTATATCATTGCTTTCTGCATCGTTTCCTGAATCTATAAAGTGTTTATGGCTGTCTATTTGTTGACAGGCAGATAGGTAGAATTGAGTACCATCTTTAAAAAAGTTATTCTCTAGCTCTGACACTGAAAAAATAAACTGTAGATCTCTGCAACTGAATTTAAAGCAGTGTCACTGTATTTTGCTTCAATATTAAGTATTCTTTAACAACTAAAACAGTCCTGGTAGCTTTTTGACACCTTGCCTTTAAATCGGAGTCTTAGATTTGGGATTAACCTAATCTTCTTTATCAAATAATGTTTTCAACTTTTGAATGTATCCATTGGGTTTTAAAATGTATTGTGAGTTACTCAGACTGACATAGAAAACATTTATGCTGGAGTTCTGTTTGTACTTTGAAATAAAATATTCAGTAGTTTATTTCTCATGTAAAAATGTCAAGAATGTCAAATGCTGCCAACTTCACGGTTTTTAATAGCTACCTCCTTTTAAGAAAACAAGGTGGTCATCTTTGAGAGGAGCATCCAATGTTTAACCCTCTTATTTTAAGTAGATATTAGATTCAAGCTTTCAGAATTGACAAAGGTAAAAACCAATTTGTTTAGATATTTTTAGACTAGGAAGTGTTCTTTGACTGCTCTTACACAGCGGCAACAATGGTCTTTTTTTTTTTTCCTTTTCTCTGCAAGGGTAGGTGGTAGCTACCTGTAATACTCTAGTATTCTGTTGTCAAAGTAGTCTCCATTTTCAGACACTATCGAGATGTCAGTTAATGGGAATGATAAGGTGACAGGAAAAGTAAGATGGCTACAAAGGAACCTCTGTAGTTATTCTGGCTGTCTTGCAATTAGATGAATTAAGAACTGGCTTTGCTAGCCGTATTAAATGTGTAACACCAGAGAGAATGTAGTTTGACTAACAGAAGGAGTAACAAGTGTAGGATCTAATTGTGGAGTCCGTTGTTTGTAGGATAAAAGTCTATCTAAAGGATTTGAAGGGTTTTGAGCCCAAGATTTGCAACTGCTACTCCTGAAAGTGCGTACTAACTTCACTAGTGACCCACACTGGCCAGTTGTGCTCTGGATGATACTGCCATTTTAACCCTGTATTTTCAAGGACTTTATAATTTCTATTTGGGAGATTTTTTTTTTTTAATGTAATTCTATATATATTTTTTTACAGAGCATTTCTCCAGCTGCCCACAGGGTGGGGTGGGGATGTCTCAGTTCTTGTGGGCACTATGGTCCAAAAAGTATTATTTGGATTCCAGTTATAGATAAGATAGCAAAAGTTTCAGTGGATGAATGGTAGAAAGCCTCTGGGAAGTTTTTTCTGCCTAACAAGGAAGTAATGTAATGTTGCTTCCAAATCAAGTCATGCTGGGCTGAGATTGGTTTATGGAAGAGACCTGGTCTCGTTTGTTAAGGGAGAACAAATGATGGAATATGCCAACATACAGGCTCAGAGAAGAGGTTTTCAATAACTTTGAGATAGTTGAGATGTGTTCAGCCATAATGTTTCTGGAGTTGGAATCTTAGGTTTTGAAATGTTGAACTCAAAATTGACAATGAAACATTAAAACATATACCGTAAGTCCTCGTTCGCACAATTCTCAAGGGCCCCGCTCCTTAAAGGAGGGCTCCAGGTACTTTGGCTTGTTTGTCCCAGCTGCACCTGCCACCTTTTCATGCTTTTGAAGACAATATTCAGAACTCCTTCCCACAGCCCTATTTTATGTAAAGTAAAATACCGATTATTCAATAGTATACAGTTTTAGTTACTCAAGGGCTGTGTTCATTTTACTGTCAGCAGAGAATAACAAGGCAGAGAAGAAGGGGGTGGATTTTTGGCCTCAGTCACATCACTACAATTAAATATTTTCTAGAAAGAAGTTACTTTGTCCATGATATATATTACCTCACAAATAATTAGTGCTACCTTTTGTTCTTAAGTGTACAGCTTTTGACCTTGATGTAGATGAAAATAGCTCAGAGTTTCCATTAAAAGACTGCCTGGTTTGCATGTCAATCAGTTGTCTATACTTACAAGCAGTGTCGATGTCTTCCTTACCTTGAATGATGTAGGCTGAGAGCTAGCTTTGTCAAAGGTTAGGGTTACAAACTTTGGAAGTTCAACTTAAGCACAGACCTTCAAGTGTTGAAAGCTTTTGAAAAGCCTAAGCCTAAACTAAGATGAATCACACTGATAAACTGCTTAGAATGTAGTGGGTAGCTTTCAGGGAAGACTATAATCTTTGTAAAGCAATATTATTGAAAACAAGACACTGATTTTTTTATTTTCAGAATTCTGCCAAGTGAAGCAAAAACTGCCAATAAAATAGTACTGAAATAACATTCAAGCTTTTGGCTATAGAAAGCAATCTGAGAACTGAATTCATTCAGCACAGGTCTGATCCAGGTGCTATGCCAGAGGGCAGAGATAGATGAAAGCAAATCCCTATCCTTGAGAGGCTCATAGACTAGGGATGACCTTACCAAATTCACTAATACACTCATTATTAGTTACCTAGATGTGAGTATTTTAGGATAGCTACTGGTGAGAAATTCTAGACCAGTCTTGTGGCATTTTAAAGGGCAAAGTGTGATACACTTTTTTAAGATTGTAGTGTTACCAGAGGAGCTATCAAAGTGTGCAAAGTAATGGGCTGCCTTTCCTCTACTTTCCTCCTGGATAAAGGCACCTTCACTGCCTGTCACTGATGAGCAGAAACTCATTCGTTGCCATTTAGTAAACTTGACTTCTTACATGTGCTCTATAAAGTTTTTTGTAAATTTTTGTCTTGGAATTGTGACTTTTCATTTACTTAATGACAAATTCAATGTATGTAATTGTCTATGCATTGTAAGTTAAAACTGCCTAAAATGTGATATGAGACATATACATTTGTTTGTACTATGAACTGTACGCAATCTGTTTGAGATGTTAGGTTTTTATCACCTGCTGCTGTATTTGTAAACAAAGACGGATGTTGCTTTAAGAAGTAATTATAATTAGGGATAGTCTATGGTTGTGATACTTGATATTTTTAAGGATAAACTTGTTTGCTTTTATTATACCTGAAAGCTTTTTAAAAAAAAATGTATTTTCCTGGTTTCACAATTTTTCCATGTATTTTGTTCTCTGGACCCACGCCTGGGCTTCCCTGAGCAAGTTCATATCCTGAGTAGCTGCCTACAAAGAAAACAAGGGCTGAGATAGCTCTTCATGGGTGACCTGCACTCACAGCTGAAAGAGCCTTCTTTCATAAGCCCCCTTTCAGCAACATGGCGTCCGTGGTGAGAAGTGCCTTCTCTCCTTGCAAGGCCAGGTTATCTTCACAAGTCAAGATCCCTCCCTGTTCTGTCCCTGCTGCCACCACTCCCACTTTCTGCTACAAACAAGAGCTACTTGTGCTGTAACTGCTGCACAGTTAGTGAGGGTCACATTAGGTCCAGGATAGTCCAAAGTTTCCTTGTCACAGTTTGCTAGCCTTTCTCAGACTGCCAATGTGAGTGGGGCTAAGAACGAATATTTTGGAAGAGGTGTCTGCTTTTTACCTGTAATTAAGCAAAGTACAACTACAAATTGGTGGTACTGGGATTTAACTCAGAGCTTCCTGCTTGCTAGGTGGGTGCTCTACAGCTTGAGCCACATCTCCAGCCTTTTTTGCTGTGGTTATTTTGGAACTTGTGTACTGATTTTTGCCCAGTTCAGCCTACAGTGCAATCCTATTTTATGCTTCCTTGAAACTGCTAGGATGACGGGCATACCACCATGTGCAGCTTTTTTCCATTGAAATGGAGTCTCAAAAACTTTTTTGCCCAGGATGGTCTGGAACTGTGATCCTCCCAATCTCGCCTCCCACATAGTTTGGAATGACAGGCACGAGCTAAACCCCAGCCATTGGCTTTCGAACTATTTGCCCAGGCTGGTCTCAAATCCAATCTCAGTCTCCCAGTAGCTGGGGCTATATGTGTGAGCCACCAGTGCCTGGCTAAAGTTTTTGATACTCTATATCCCTAAAGGGCTAAGATGGAGCTAAAACATAGATGGTGAGATGTAAGACCTTTCCGGAGCAGGACCAGTTTTTTGTTGTTTTTATGTTGTGAAATAACATGGCACTGACCTGCTCTGGGTCACCTGGCCCAGGCAGGTCCTTTCTACCACTATATTCATACGCTGCACCAATCCTTTTGCAACAGTTGTTGGAAGCAAAATCAAGTCTTAGCATTTAGCTTACTTCAAATAAGACATGCAATATGCCAGAAGAATGTGAGCCATTCAGTAGAATTTATTTCTGTGACTTTTACACATTTTTCTCTCACTTGGACAAATTAAGCAACTTCACTGTTTGGCGGAGCTCTGAGGTTTCAGAGCTGAGGAGGGATAGAATAGTAAAGCAGTCTCACGGCTGCTTCCAGTAATTGCACTCGCCCCCTTAGTGCACTTTACCTACTCATTTGTAGTTTGGGTAGGAAAAAGATTTGCTGTTTTCAAATTTTAAAAACTACTGTACATGGCCATGTCTCTTGATTAAGGTTTGCCTAAATCATAATCCCAGGTTCCCAAGTATAATAGAATCTCAGGACATCCAGGATTTGAATTAATTCTT